TGGCCCCTTTTTGGCCCCTAATTCCTTAACTGTTGGTACCATAACCCCCAAAATCAATCCCAACCTTCCTTTTGTGGTATTTAACCTTATGGTCAAATTTCAAAAAGATCCATTCACTTAAACTAAAGTTAGAGTGCGAAAACCAATATGTATTCGGACGACGACGCCGGACGACGACGACGACGACGCCAACGTCATACCAATATACGACCACAAAATTTTTTTGCGGTCGTATAAAAATTCTAAATATATCCAATGCAGATATGTGTCAGGCCAAGGATTGACCGGTCATGTCAGGTGATGACCTTGTTATGTTATTGCGATAGTTTAGAGTCAAGCGCACACATGAATCTGCTGGTGTTTTACCATCAAACGATGCACCATCAGTTGACAGAATCACGTGTGTGCTTGACTCTGGGTCTTTTAACATTTTCCGTCAGGAGTCACAAAGCCCTTTTCTGAAATTTATCATGAAAATAAAACTATTGACAGCAACGAATTACTGGTTCCGTACTCGAGCCTCGATAATGTCATTTTTGTGTGTACCTTAATGACGTATAACGGTAAAGAGCTGGACTATTCAGTTGTTAAATCCCGTTTTTTATCACTTCTAAAACTTTGAAAGGTATTAAGGCAATAAAGGCAATCATTGGGGACATTCCGACAATGACCGACATGAAAGCTACGTACTTTCGAAATGGAATCCGTCAACAGACATTAGTTTGTACATTGATATTTCTGTCAACAGACAGTGCATCGTTTGATGTGTAAAACACCAGCAGATTTCGTTTTAAAAAACACATGTTGTCTAAAACTGGAATATGACTTAATTGATTGCATTAAAGATCTGAACGCAGACGGAACAACTAAATCATGTATTGTTTCAAGCATCATTGATTTGAAGTCGTACTCTCCACTTATATACTTGACTTTAACTCAAGATGGATTGTATGAATATATGACAATTCTGTTTATCATTATTTTGAAACTTTCAGATGCACAATTAAATTTCCCATTTGTGCACATGCGCAGATACATAACCAACAGGGTTTAAATTAACCCGAATAATCCAATTGTTTTATTCCGATAATTCCAATTATTAATTTACCAAAGACAATTATTACAACAATCAGTGAGAATTAATATCATGACCTATTAATGCTCCAAAACAAGCCATCAATTTTTAATCATTTTTTTTTCATGTGTGTTCATGAATTTAGAGAATTTATACCATATAAATATCTGAATAAGTTTATTAAACTTTAATACCCATAATATTATTATTTTTTAATAATTGCAAGGACGTATAAAACGTCCTTGATAAAAGCAGTCAATATAATACTTCCACGAAAAAAGTAAGGAGAAGTAACTCAGGGTGAACGTACTCTATGGGGACGAACTCAGGGCGAACGGACCAAGGGCGAAGATGTAATCAGGGCGAACTGACCCGATACCAAATTCACGCATGCGTACTACAAACTCTTACTTTAAAGACATCCGGTTACAAGTTAACAAATAACGTTCATGTAAGATGAGATGAAATCTAATAATTTACATAAATAAAAGGGTTGATATTAATACATTAAAACATGAGAAATTATAACACTAACGATAGTGATCGTTTTTCAAGCCTAACTAATAAATTAAATGATGCAGATGCTTAGATCATGTGTAAACATCGGTGTCAAGATATGGTACGGAAGTTGTTATGAAATTGTAAAGCACAGAAAGGGATACGGCATACGTCCTGGTGACGGTTCAATGATTATACAGCCGGCAGTAAAGGCTTTCAGAAGACTTGAAGTCTTCTTCCACCAAAAAGCGGTTCATTTTCAGAGTTTAAATTTCACCTTTTTAAAGGCAAACCTCGTTTTATTTTTAACATTTATTCGTCCTCAATTCTGTTCTTTTATAGAGATAAAATTGACTCGACCCGGAGCCAAGGGGATATTTTCCCAATTCTATATAAATCCCGAAATTAACACAAAAATAAACCCCTAATGAAATTATCTGATCAATACTCATACACATTAAAATTGAAGGACAAGGAGTATTTAAAGACAATATAAACTTTTCAAAGGTGCACAAGTTTGTCAAATGCATTTCAGTTATTTTTTTAAATCAAACAAAATAACTCCTTTTATGTTAGGTTTGAGTTTTGTTCTAATACTAATAATATTATTATTCACAAGGTAACAGTCTGCAAGAAGACAAGTCACCCTACCTGGACACATTATTTTAACTCCGAGCACACTAGTCTTTGCTTTTACAACCTTAATGTTAGTACTTGGCAGAAAAGCAGCAAATACTGATTTTAAAGTCTTTGACTTGACCCAGTCTTGGTTCTAAATCATGACCTCCCACACTAGAGACAATCACACTAAGTTCTAAATCATGACCTCCCACACTAGAGGCAATCACACTAAGTTCTAAATCATGACCTCCCACACTAGAGACAATCACACTAAGTTCTAAATCATGACCTCCCACACTAGAGGCAATCACACTAAGTTCTAAATCATGACCTCCTATACTAGAGGAAATCATGACCTCCCACACTAGAGACAATCACACTAACATGAGACTACCAGGGCACATCCTTGAGAAAGAACAATATGGTTGTGTAGAACACATGTAAAGAACAGCATATAAACAATAAATATTTTAGAAAAGATTTTAAGTTAATAATGATTGATATTATATTGCTTGAATATATACAAAATATTATGCTAAATCCTTTGTTAGTATATTTTGCATAAAAATCAAACAATTAGCCACATTACAAAATTAAATGAAGTTTTGAAAGCAATTTTAAATGGGCAACTGTCAAACCATTATATAATGTTGGATTGTATTGACATTATGCAGCAAATATAAAATGTTAATGACATAAAACCTAACACACACAAAATTTTTTTTGGGGGAAATTTGGAAAAAAAAGAATGTGTCTAAGGACACGAATATCCCCGCTCAAGCATCAAACAAACGAAAATTGGACGAACAGACGGACGGACTAAAGCATAAGGACGGACAGTCACCTACGGCAGGAGCATAATAAATAGCATATCTTGGTGGCTTTTGAGCAAAAATGAAACAACCATATATATATAGAGATTTTATCTTTTCGTCTTTTTTCTTTTAACCATGGTGTTGTAGGTCTTTCCTCCTAATTATGGTTTGTTATTGTCCTCTTACCTTTTTAAGACTAATCTTACCACATATAAAAGTCTATGCAGATAGACAGACATAAATAGAAATTATATGAAAAATTTAGTCTATAAAGGTATTCAATTCCTGGAAACTTACTCCGTAAAAATACAAAAATTTCCCTTTGAGTACTCGTATAAATTAACTAAAACTTACAGTGAAAGTTTAAACTAAAGGTTTATGTGCAAAAATCATCCATCACTACACAGATTGGCTTTTGTCTAATTGTGCATGAATGTGTAATAAAAAAAGGAGAACATTTTGGTTGAAAGTGTACCGGTACTTTAAATTGGTGAATATAGATTAATAATTAATGCTAAAGCATGCATCCAGTCTTCAAATCATACACAAATATAACATTTCTCAAATAACATTAATAATCACAGGGAAACACACGAAAATACTGATGACGTGAAACAAACATTTGGTATCAATTTTAGTGTGCATGGCACTCATTAGTTGCCGAACTGTACCTCTTAGGTCCTTATGATATTATTTGACAATATGGGTCTAATTTGTCCCACACAAATCAGAAAATATAAAAAGCATTCTGTGAGTATTGCCTGGCAATACATAGGCCCCTACCAGTTAAAAATTCATTGTACTGGAACAAAATGCTAACTTGATCTATAACTTGTCATGGTGTAAACTTTATAACAAATATCAAGTCAATATCTTCAAGCATGACGAAAAAAAATGTGGAAATTTGATTATTTGAGTGAATTTTCTAAGTCCAAGGACCATAACTCTGCATAAAATCATCAGACCGGAACAAAATTGGAACTTGATCTGTAACTTGTCATGATAAAAATATATACCAATCATCAAATCAATATCTTCAAGCATGACAAAATTTTCTTAGTTCAAAGACCAAAAAAGTGTGGAAAACTATTTGCCGGCAGACGGACGGACGGACTGATTTGCCGGCAGACGGACGAATGGACAGACTGACAGACTGACAGACAGACAGACAGACAGACAGACAGACAGACAGACAGACAGACAGACCTAAAGTCCCCTTCGACTTAGTTGGTAGGGGATTATTAAGGACCATTAGAGTTGTGGTTACAGAGCTAGACCCTCATATGATTTTCATAAGCAATTTGGGTTCTCTAAAGGAATAACATATTTGATAGGTTTTTTTACCAGCTGCATGATTAATTTGTGAACTTTTCATAGAGGTCCCCACCCCTGAAAAACTGTGATCAATTTTTTTTATATCGAATTTTTTTTAGTGCTGAAGAACAGAAAGCAAAATTACAAAAAATAATTGATAAAATAATTTTTATTATTTGAAATCATCTAGTAAGGACATCTTATTCATCCCATATTTACTTAATATGTTTATTTTATTTTTAACATAATCTGGTTACAATTTACTTTTCCCCCATGTTGCCCCATAACCAGTTTATACTGAAACATATAGATTTAATAGGCAAATGACATTTTTCTGGTGTGTTTACATGGTATACAATAAATAATTATAGTTCTTAGATAATTATCCAACCCTTTTAAAAAGGTCATTTTGGATGAATAACAACAGTCCTGTGCAAAATTTTAAGTGTCCAATTCATTTGTGCTATATATAAAATGGAGAAAAAAAATGAAATTTAAAAATTGTATGTTAGAAAAATGACAAACATGCAATCCCCAATGTGAAAACATCGACATGATAGATATGGTTTAGAATAGCTAAATATGAGAAAATCTAAGTGCAAGCAATCTCAATTTAAAACGGCTCTGCTGGGGTAAAAATGCAAGCAATATAAATCCTAAACCAGCATCCATTATACCTATGGCTCTTGACACGGACAACATGCCATTTACTCGCCAGACTCCACCCATGTTTAAAACATAACCACCAAGATTTTGTATTCTAACACGCTCATCCTGTAAGAAATTTGATAATTTAAAATCATATGAACAATGTTTAAGTATTTTTATATTCAAAGTGAAAATTTTCTGAACTAAAACTTGTATAACAAAAGTAATTTAATGTCCTCAAGAGCTAAAAATTATTTGTTTTTGTTTATTTGTCTCCATTTTAGAGCTCAAAGTAAGATTTTTAATTACTAAAGGTTAATTTTTAGTATATTTGTAATCACAGTAAAGTATACCTGGTACTGCAGATCTGACTGCAAAGTTTAGTTCAGAAAACTTCAACTCAACATTGATTAAGTATGCTGAGAAATCTTGACAAACATAATTTAATACAATTTTCTTTTACTTCAATCTTGATACCATTTTGTTGAAAACATATTCCAAAACAAATTTAGACAAGTTTTCATTAAAAAAATTCCCATGGTTACCATCAAAATTCCTCATTATACTAAGGCCTGTTCCAGAAAATACTATGTCCCCCCAGGGACGGCACTTTTTTTTTAACCCCCACCACCCACAGAAAAAAAAAAAAAATTAGAACAACACTCCCATTGCATTTTGGTATTTCAAATACAACCACCCACATAAAGTTAAAAAAAAATTGCCTTCCCTGGGGGGGACATAATATTTTCTGGAACAGCCCTAACATAAACATCCATTTGATGCAAATTTATTGGAGAATTTGCATCAAATGATTATGATTAGCACAACGGAATATAAGTAAAGAGTTACCTATTGCTCTGGATACAGATAAATTTCCATTTACTCGCCATGTACCCATAAACAGTATGCAGCCTCCTAAAGCTTCAATACGAGCTTGTTCATCCTAAAATACATCGTTAATATCAAACAGATCAGTCTAGCTTTCTTTTTTGTGAGATAAATACTTCGTTAATTCTGATACCATTTCTATGTTTGTTGCTAAACGTTCAAATAATTTAAACTGAAGCTGAAGGAATATGGATATACTGAGTCGTTTATGGATCCAAAAAACTAAATACTCACGAAAAATGCAAATTTCCCTCTATTTCTGAAAATAATCTGCAGTACCATAAAATATATTGGAATTCTTAATGGACAAATTGTGCAATTGTTCAAATCAAAAGTTAGTTTGTCTTCATTCACCAAATACTGTGCAAAAAATTGGTAAAGACCAGTGAAATTGAGGACATTGAACTGACATCTTTAATGAAATACTGTTTTCTACACCAATGTAGGAAATTAATAGGTTTCCTTGTAAAAAATAAAGTGTATGACATCGCAAAGCAAAATGTGATTGTTTTACACACATTATTCAGGAATATGCACAAAATTAAGGTCAGCTGAAGTCGTCCCAGAATTTTATTCAATACATTGACCTCATGGTCACTAAAAGCCCAGGATGTAAGAAGAAAACTTATGAAAGAACCTCGGTAAAGTTTAGATACCTATCCAACGTCCTTCATATAAGTACCTGTATATGGAAAATACTGTAAACCAACTTATTCTTAGGCTATTTAATTTAACAAGTTACAATTTTTGGCCAACTGCCAAATTGATAATCCTTTTTATTTCAATACTACAAAACCAAAACTAATTTTGGAAGAAATTTCGAGCAACTTGCATTTTTGTTTTGGTTGCTAAACTTACAGAAAATAATTGAATAAAAGTTGGTTTGCAGTATCTTACATGAGCTCACATATTTTATTCACTAAATATTACCGCTCTTTCTGGTTTATGTGGATTCATAACTGTGACTGGTCGTCCATTCTTCACAAGAACAGCTTGAGAATCACCGACCCAGGATATATGTAGTTTATTTTTGTCTATAAAAGCTAAAACTCCCGTTGATCCACTCTTTATCCTCTAGAATGTAAAAAAGATTGATTAATTGTTGGTTTTTAAGGCAACTTTCACCACTGTTTTCTAATCATGGCTGCCAGTTTTTATTGGTGGAGGAAGCCTGAATGCCCTGAGAGAACCACCAACCTTTAGCAGAGAATATAGATTGATTGATTGTTGGTTGCTTAACATCCAATGACAAATAAAGAAAAGATGATATTTCTGTTATTTATTTAGTAAAGAGTATAACTTTCTTTTAAACAATATCAGAATTTAATATTCAATGATGACAACCATAACATTTTATTCTTGTAGAAATAATCCATGTTGTTTTTTTGTGCAAAATTTTTAAAAATGACAACTTTTTCAAACAAATATGTTCATTTTTCCAACATTAAACAGGATCTGGATGGGGGTTCTTTATTCTATATTCTTTTAATTTTTTATATAATTTTTCTCTATTCTTTATTTGTTTTGTCCATTATTTTTCTCTATTCTTTATCTATTTTGTCCATTATTCTCTTTTCTTTATATTTTAGCACATCATTATTCTATTTTCTTTATTTTTTTCCATTTTATTCTATTCTGTATTTTTTTTCCTTTACTCTACTTTTTGCCCATTATTCTCTATTCTGTAAATCCCATCCAGAACCTCAGTAAAGAATCAAATTGAATCATAAATATCCCATCTGTCAATTTGAATATCCTACAAGGTTACCTCTCTAACTGCTTTGACAATAAATTTTTCGTCTGTTGATTTGAATGCAGCTTTTAGCGCTCCCTCTGGATCCTTGGGGAATGCACTGCTCTGTACAAAATGGTAAGGTACATGGGCAGCGGCATAGTTAGCTGCCTCAATACCAGCATGGCCATCAAACACAGCATAGAAGGACTGGCGTTCATTATGCTGGAGATGATAAAAATACAATCCTCGTTGAAATATTAATTTTAAAAGCTTCCAAAATTTCAAATTATGCTAGTTGCAATTTTGCAAGTATTTTTTTATGTAAAATGTTTTGTTTACATCTTATTTTAAATCTATTTGTGAGTTTTATTGCTCCCTTTTTTTTGTTTTACCATGAAAACGTAAAAATTGGCAATTATAAAATTAAGACTTTCACCATCTGTTTATTACACTATGACTTCATATAACTAAAAGGGTGACATTATACTCAAGTAAAAATCTGGAATGTGATGATGAATCCTTTTTCAAGCACAATTTTAAACTCACACTAAGAACAGAAGGATTTGTGTGAGGGTAATATTTCTTTTAATGTGCAGAATCACTAAAATCTATGTCAAATGGAAAGAGTCCAGGCTCAGATGGGTATACTGTAGAATTTTACAAAGTCTTTTGGAGAGATATTGGACCTTTTCTTTTTAGATCGTTATATTTTGGCTATGAAAAGGGGGAATTTTCAATATTTCAGTATCAAAGTGTCATTACATGTTTTCCAAAAGAAGATAAAGATAGACGTCATTTAGCTAATTGGCGCCCAATTAGCCTTATGAATACTGACAAGAAGATTGCTTCTGCTGTCATTGCTAATAGAATAAAACCTGTTTTACCATCTATTATTAGTGACTGTCAGAAAGGCTTTATAAAGGACAGATTTATGGGTGAGAATACACGTCTATTGTATGATTTGATGCACTATTTAGAAAAACATAACAAAACTGGTCTTTTACTATTAGTAGATTTTGAAAAGGCTTTTGACTCTATCGAATGGTCTTTTTTGAAAAAAGCATTGAAGAGTTTCAATTTTGGACCATCTATATGCAGATGGTTTGAAGTATTTTATTTAAAAGCATCAAGTTGTGTTATAAATAATGGTCATCTTTCAAGCTTCTTTAATTTGGAGAGAGGCTGTAGACAAGGAGACCCCCTCTCCCCTTACCTTTTTATTATAGGTGTTGAGTTACTTTCTATGAAAATAAGGTCAAACCCCAAAATAAAGGGAACTTTTGTTCATGAAAATGAATCCCTTTTGAGTCAATATGCTGATGACACTTTCCTTGTTTTAGATGGAACTGAAACATCATGATTAGTAACAATTACTTTTGATTCAAATCATATAAAGTAAAAAATGAAACTTACAGTTTATAAAGAGCAGATCTTTACAAAGATAACATTTTTCTTTGCAATACACAAGTTGATATATGTTATGTTAAAGCAAGTGCAAGAGTGGGTGTATGTGTGTGTGATTGTTTTCTTTTCCCCTTTTTATTATAATGTTGATATTCATATAATATATATTCACAGTAGAAAAAAAATGTAGTCAATTATTATTTTTTTTGTTTCCTATATCAAACCCCTTAACACCATAGTCAGGTGGTGATGTACAAGGATTGTAAAATCCTGACTACTGAATAACAAATAAAAAAAAAAAAAAAAAAGGGTGACTTTTAATTCATACCACATCTTCTTGTTACCTCGATTTGTCTCTTCTTAATTGATTTACGAGATTAAAAAACTACTGTGACCTAAATCTTTATGCAGTAATATACAGTCAGAAATGCCCAGTAGCTTGCTTTTATATTGGTAATCTTGAATAGAATAAAATTTTGATGGAAAGCATCTTAGCTGTTGCCTCTGCACAAGTAAAACAGGTGATGCACAACAGAAAACGTCAACTGCTTGGTCAATTTGGTGCTTTTGACCTCATGATCATTAACTATTCTTGATTTTAAAATATGATAAATGTACTGTGTTCCTTCATTTTATCAAAACCAAAAATTAAACAAACTTAAACGAGTGTATCATAGGCCATTGTGGTGTTTTCAATTTTTTGTTAACGGATATGTCCTTCAACAAAAAATAGTAACTCATTAATTTTAATTGTTGTTTATTAACTGTCTTGCAGACTTTTACCGTCTATGGTAATGACTACCTACTCTTAAATCAAACAATGTGTTGAGGTCCGGTAGTAAGACGTGTCGATCTTCCATCTTCCGTCGAGTATTCTTGATTTCATGTGTGCATGCATATAACAACTGTTGAGGGGGAGATAACTCTGGCAATTCATCTTTCCACAATTTACAAACATCATGAACACAGTCTATAACAACATCACATACTTTATTGGCATCTAAAACTGTAAAATAAGATAAATTTCATATTAAGGTGGTACATAACACTACAGGGAGATAACTCTGTAAAAATCAGCTGAACGTTTTAATCACATTCTATTGTTAAGGAAATATTAAGCTTCTCAATGATCAAAATTAGTGTTTGTCAAACTGCTATATATTCAATGAAATTTTTCCGATAAAGTGTGTGGTTCAAGTTTTATGAAATTTTTATATTTTTATCAAAGGGTCAAAGTAAATATTTTGTCAAAATTTTATGAAAACAAGCATTCTGAGAGTATTGCATGGCAATACATAGTCCCCTACCGGGTAAAAATTCATTATACTGGAACAAAATGCTAACTTGTTCTATAACTTGTCATGGTGTAAACAAAAAGAAAATATCAAGTCAATATCTTCAAGCATGACTAAAAACAGTGTGGAAAACTGAATATATGAGTGAATTTTTTCAAGTCCGAGGACCATAACTCTGCACAAACTTATCAGACCAAAATAAAAATTTGAACTTGATCTGTAACTTGTCATGATAAAACTATATACCAATTGTCAATCAATATCTTCAAGCATGATGAAAAAAAGTGTGGAAAACCTATAACACTCTAACATAAGATATGATTAATAGTTCTCTTAAATTAGATCTATATGATGTAATACAATGTATATCTATTTTCAAATTACAATCAAATATAATTAATAGTTCCAAATATTTTTTCTTTCATTTGTCGCAAACTAATATAGATTTGTAACTTATCTATAAAATGTCAACAACTTTTATCTACACAATGTAATGTAATGAAATATATACCTTAATAAAAATAGATTATTATCTAATCAAAGGATTTCACTTAATAAAAAAAAAAAATATATATATATATATACACATTTAGCATTCAGAAAATTAGTTTATACAAAATAATATATAAACCTGCCACAAAATTCCTCAAACAATTTACCAAAGAATGTCTTTTAAAAATGAGTTATCTCCCTTTGCACAGATATATGGTTTAACATAGTACTCTAACATTAGTTATGGAGTTTTTTTATGGACCATAACTCTGGACTAAATCATCAGACCGGAACAAAATTCGAACTTGATCTATAACTTGTCATGATAAAACTATATACCAAATATCAAATCAATATCTTCAAGAACGAAGAAAAAAAGTGTGGAAAGCTGAGTTGCCGGACTGACAGATGGACAGACGGACGGACAGACAGACGGACAGAGTGCAAACCTAAAGTCCCCTTTGACTTCGTCGGTAGGGGACTAATTAAAACAAGCCAAATTGATTTTAGTCAAGGTGTTTGGTACCACCTTAAGTACCAAACATTGTAACTTCATAACATGGGATAGTTTTTAAGTTTCCTTTTTTTTTTAAATAGTGGAACACCATGTATTATGTATGTAATCCCCCTTGTTATCTTTGTAGATTTATGTATATGGTAGTTGTTATTCTTCGGTAGATATTTCAATCAGTTTTCTTATATAAAAAGGTCATTTCAGATCACAATATCAATACCATATTCATGTGACTGTCCCATGTCAGGAACCTTGTCATTGGTTGTCTTATGTCAAATTTCAATGTTTTTTGGTTGTTTGCCAAATTTAGAATCATCATTTAATCATCAGTCTGATTAGAAGAGTTAATTCAAACCCATTTCAATCTAATTTCAGTGATCATGTGGTGTTTTTTTACACATTTCTGTTTTACAGTAAATTAATGACTTTATCCTACCCTAAATTTGTTGTGAAAATGTTCTGCTTTAGAATTTATCATTGTCTCTAAAAATCTATTGAATACAGGATATCTTATAGTCAACAATATGTTACAGTTTTTCTAATTGTTATAGGCCGTAAGGTGGCCAATAATTGCTTATATCATTTGAACTCTGGTGGATAGTTGTCTGATCGGCAATCACACCATCTCCTAATTTTATTTTTGCAGGGCTACATTATATCTGATGTTTTCCAAACATTAAAGAGCGTTTCTCTCATTTTTCACATTTCCTAGTTTAAGTTTTCAAAAAAAAAAACAAAAAAAATTAACTCTCAACAAAATATTTTGAGACTGCCTCATTCTTTCCCATTCTCCATCCTTCAAGATATATTTATAACTGTAAACAAGAATGTGTCCATAGTACATGGATGCCCCACTCGCACAATCATTTTCTATTTTCAGTGGACTGTGAAATTGGGGTCAAAACTCTTAATTTGGCATAAAAATTAGAAAGATCATATCATAGGGAACATGTGTACTTAGTTTCAAATTGATTGGACTTCAACTTCATCAAAAACTACCTTGACCAAAAAATTCAACCTGAAGCGGGACAGACGGACAGACAGTTGGATGAACAAACTGACGCACAGACCGAAAAACATAATGCCCCTCTACTATTGTAGGTGGGGCATAAAAACTGATATATGATAAACAAACCTATTTCCTGTTCTTCTGCTATAATATCAGACCCATCATCCTTCACCTCTTCTGTCTTGGATTCCTGAAGTTCACTGACGTCAATATTCCGTACAAGGTTGTGGACAGACCGGGATATTGCTGCTGTCAAAGTATGTGGACAGTGGCTGAAATATAAGAACATCTTGTTTCATTAAAAACAAAAATTAACTAATTAATATTTTGTGGTTAACAGTTAGCTCTAAATGTAAGATAAGTTTACATGAAAAAAAGAGAGGAGATGGCTAAGGTTCAAGTTACTTTCACTGATATTTCAGTATGAACTAACCAAACCCCCTTAGCATGGCTATAGTCCTCCTTAATTGTGTTAGTTTTTATCATACATTTCTTATTAATTTTCCAGAAGGCACCATTTGATTTCTATTCCTCACAGTCCTGAATATGCATGTAATATTTGCTGCTGGACCTTAAAAAAATCACAATTAACCATATCTAAAAACTACTCAAGTTTTTTTCCCCATTGAAAGCTGGTGATTAATGATTGAAATATTTCTTCCTCTATTAAAATGCACTAGATTGTACATATTATATGGATGGAGACTTCAAGCAGTGATTGTTTAAAACAAGCAAGACTTTGTGTCTACTGAACCACCTAATATATATACTGCATGTACAACTCTTAGATTTGTATAGCTTGTGTCCCGTAATTACCATAATGCTACAGTATCTATTAAATTTAAGAATGCAAATATCTCTTAACTGGAATATCAAACTTTAAAACTCTTAATATACATCATATATGATACCAGGCTCGAAATCATTGCTTTGGTATAGCAAATTTAGATTTTCTTATCTTCTGTTAGTTTTGAAGAAATCTTTAGAAAGTTAGAAACTGTTGGTAAGTTTACCTTTAAAATCTAGAAGAAAGAAATTTGAAATAAATGTTAGCTGTTGTTAACTTAAAGTTGGATGAAAATTAAATATTTATGTTTTGACTAATTAATGCACCGATTTAATTAAATCAAATTTCAAGGTTTCATGCAGACAACACATGTAGACATCTGCAGAGATTATGTAATTTAACAATGATTTAAGATTGTATCCAGTTAATATATCTACTAGGATGTAGACTATCAGTGATCCTTTTTACAGTAAAATTTATGCCTGGAATTTTCTGTTGTAAACAACCTTTCAGAAGATAAAGGAAATCTGAGTTTCTTGATTATTGTAAAGTCAGAAATTTTTTGGGATGTTTCTATTTTATTGTGAAAGTTGCTATAAAGGTTTCACAAAAATAAACACTCACATTTTAAAATTTTGAAGTATAATTCTATGTTGTATTTCTTTAAATCACAATATTTATCTCACATGTTGGTCCCTAGATGAACAATGGCAATAATAAATGCCATGCATATATGCACTTCACAGTTTTGCCTATACACTTAAGCTTGCCTTGTTTTCCAAATAAACACATTTTTAGGGTAAATAAGAAAAAGATATGCATGGAGTAAAATGTCGTTGAATATGTATTAGGAAATAAAATATAAATAACAATATCATTCATATATCCAGTACAAATGTATATAAAATTTGTCTGAAATGATTCATATGAATATATATATATAAATGAAATTTTTTGTCCATATAGAGAATGCAATTCTTTAAAGTCATCTCTTATTTTTCCTCTGTTTTTCTGACATACTTTTACAGCTGATTACAGAATTTTAACTAATGACTGGCATGTTGAACTTCAGAGTTCTGTTTTAAATTATCTTTTATGGACTGCAATTGTGTTTTAGTCTTCTCTAATCGAGGGGCTGAAGGACCTTTTTCGGGACATCAGGATTAGGCCTTTATAATTGTGGGTGGGAATTCAGGATTTACATTTATCAGGAATCCGGAATTAATTTTTCAGATTCTGGGAAAATACTTAAATTTTTTTGGAATTCAGGATGAAACCCCCTCCGTAACAACCCCATGCAACCCCCTTCCTAATTGGTTCTCTACTTATCTCGTGTCCCTTTAGAGCTGACAAAAGAAAGGGGTTTTCTCATTGACTTAATATATATATAGCAAGAAATTTTAGCTTTCTTTTATAAATTACCACAAATCAGAAAAGCATTAGTTAAGGAACAAAATAAGCTAAAAATATTGAGCTATTGAAGTTTTCTATGGAAAGAATAGTGGGTATTATGGGGCCAAATATTTTACCCTGTATCTTAGGAATAACCCCAAGGAGTCCGAACATCTGACAAAAATTCCTAAACCTGAAATGACTACAACCTTAACATTGGTTGCTGTGTCAGCCAGTAACCATGGTAACAATTACCCATTATCTCTTTTTTTTCTCCTTTGCCACAGTATAATGCTTCAGAAACATACAATTTGTAAAGTGTTTGTTTTTACTTTTTATAACCTTGGCCTAAATATACTTATTTAAATAAAATATAAGATGGTTTTCCTGTCTGTGTTATAATATATAAAAGCTTGTTGTGAGTACTTCCTTGTACCGAGTTAATCAATTTATTTTGACACTTCCTAAGATTTTACAAGGACAATTGATCATTATATAACTTGTTGATTTAAAAAAAAAAAATGCTTTTTATACTCTCTAAATCAAAATGATTTTAAATTCTTGTTTAGAAATTTGAATAGGGAACATATTTTACATAATTTCCCTAATGGAATTTTAAGCAAGAATTTAATTCAAACTCTATAAATTAAAGGATGGAAGATGAGCTGAAGTTGGAGCATTGTAGACTATAAGTTTTGTGTTTAACTGCCAAAAAGCTAAAGGTGACCTAAAATGTGATCCCTATTGAAAGAAATTTTGATTTTAATCAACAATTTCTTCCACATCATTCAACAAAGGCATGTTTAACATACTTTATATTCACAAAGTATACATTATATATTTTTATGGTAATTTCTTTTTTGAATCAAATAAAGAATTTTGTATATATTTGATGTTATCAGTAATTCATTTACTGGCAGTATGTTGATTCAGTTCTTATTCTCTGGTTTAATTATTTTCTACATGTAAAGAAATTGATATAATGCTCCTTTATTTACAACAATTTAAAAAAGTAAAAACTCTGAAAAAGAGTGGCGAAAGATACCAAATGGACATTCAAACTCATAAGTCGAAAATAAACTGACAACGCCATGGCTAAAAAAAGAAAAAAGACAAACAGATTAACAACAGTACAAAAAATTAAGACTTAACAACACGAACCCGACCAAAATCTGGGGGTGAGAGCTCTCAGATCTCCAAACTTTCATCTAGAGCACTGAAATCAGAGAATTTTGTGGTCCATCGTCATACACAAACTGTATAATGTTTTCAGAAACATTTATATATATAAGAGCCTTATATTATCAAATATGATCAAATCAACAGTCGAACTCAACTATTGTATGAGCAATTATTGCAAATGTGTTCAAAATTTAAAAACATTTAGATGAAGTTTATATACTTCATTGATGAAAATCCATATGATGATAGGCCCATGATCATGAAACAATAGGATATTTACATCTATGTGTAGATGACCTGCTACTCTCTTTTCACATACCTGCCAACTGTCACTATTTGTGGGGGCTTTCCCCTATGGAGGCTCCCAATTGGAAATTTTAAAAGAGCAATTTTGTCCACAATTTAAAACAAAACAATCAATTTTACCATGGGTTTATGATTGTAAAAGTATGAAGAAGCAAATAAACATCATGAAAATAAATTTGAAGGCCCCTTTAAAGGTTTTGTGGAACAGTGAGAGCCATCTTACACGCTAAACCCCCATGTGCATTTTGAAATGTTGGCAGGTATGTTTTCATATTTATCAAATTCAATTTCCTTTAACACCCATTTAAATAAATACTATTCCTGTTCAATTTACTTTCAAGAAAAGATAGGAAGATATGTGCCTTACCCCTACTATTTTTTATTCTCTTTTTATCATATTGGTGAAGGATTATGAAATGTTGCAGAGGTCCTCAGCATCCTGATAAACCTCTTTTAAAAAATCTTACAAGAACAAATAATAAAATTCCCCCAAAATTCACCAACTTATGTTAATTGAGTGGTAAGACTTTTCTTACAAAAACAGCCCTGACTGTGTCCATATTATCTGGTTACTGTTACAACATACAAATCCTTTCAGCATGAACTGTTAACTAATGAGGTGTAGAAAAGATTTCTCTGTTTCTAAGGTTTATCAAATAATCTCTTTGTGCTAATTACAACATCAGGTATCCATATAGGAAACATGTCATCATAAGATCTATTTCTTGTCAGATCAGGAAAATAAATCAAGTATCTGTTTTTTACATAAGAGAACTTTGTTCTTCTGTTAATTATCATACCAGAGATTTTATGTAATAAGACAGAGCAAAATCTGTTCATACTTTGACTGTGATAAGTGTAGCCATGACTAAAATTTTCCCAGAGATCTAAGACAGGGGTCATGCATGAGGGTCAATTAAAGGCTGATTTTTTTGTTTTCCCTGAGTATGAGTTGAGTATCTAATAATATCTACAATGATCTATGAAAATCATTGCTGTCTTCCAAGGCCAATGGATTCAAAGAGAGGCCAAAGATACATGTACCAAAGAGACATTCAAACTCATAAGTTGAAATAACCTGACAATGCCATGGCCTCTTATTTTGAACAGTCAAAAACAGGGTGTTTTTTCTAGATTGATAAATTTCTAACCTTTTGGTTTTCAATGATTTTATAAACAACAGTATTTTGCAGTACTATTGTAATAATACTCTAGCACTGGACTAGTAGGTTTGTATCACTGGACACAAGTATGATACCAAATGATTTTGTTTTTTTATTGGACCTCTACAAATTTTGTTTTGGTTTGGTTTATAACATGAGCAGCATCAAATAGAAATAGACCGTAAGCAAGTGCACATATACATGTACATGTACAAGACTTTGATATATTTTGGAACATTCAAATACGAAATAACAGATGAGTGTTTGTCTGTTTGTAGGGTTCTTTTATTAATTAAATTTTCAAACAGTTACATATTTTGCATAGAGATTTTTTCAACCCAAAATAAGTTTAACAGATGTATTGATATTCATTTGCATAAGGTTGATTTCTATTCGAGGCGGCTCAGATGTTGTTATATTGGGATGCTGTCTTATTGATATA